TATGCAGATAAGCAAAGTTTAGTCCAAAGAGAGAGAGGGGGAGGGGGAAGAAAAGCACAAATAGAAGTGTACTCCTGACTTTGAATGGTCTTTACCAGTTTCGGTAGACCCTCCTGAATCCTCAAGACATCCCTGTTAGTGGGATCCTTACAGCACTCGGCGAGAGCGCCTACAACATTGGCTAACACCCTTTCATCCTCGTTTTCTTCAAGCAGAGGCACCAATGACGCTACCAGACCGTTTTGATTGAATCTCATTATGTTCTCGGGGCTGATGGCACACTTCCAGACACCACCGGTGACCGCGGCCAGCAGGCGCTTATTGGCGTGCACCTCCACGCTCTGCACGAGTTTGCAAAGTGGATCCAGACCGCCAGCTTGACGCACCATCATTCGAGTTTCCCGATTAGAAGCGCATTTGAAGATGGCCAAGGCAGAGTTCTCTTTCAGTTTCACGTTGTCGTTCTTCAAATGTCGCACCAAGTCGTTAATGATGCCCACTCGTTCAAATGCCTCTCTGAAAACATTCTACAGATGCGCCAATAAATATTGGCACTACACAACTACAAGGGAATATTTATAATAAAATTTGGAAAATAGATAGTTTAATTAATTACGATTTTAATAAATGTGACAGTGTCATGGACTTTGAATAACAATGACAATCCGAGATATGCCTGATATTTAAATCTCATGATACTTAACTTTTCGATTACTAATATAATGATATGTTTTCCATAAATAATTTTCATAATTTCTATATATATATATATATATATATATATATATATATATACACACATTGTTCAAATTGATTTAAATTATTTTATTGATTAAATTATTTTAACACTATTAGATAACAAATAAAATTCAGTAAACCAGATCAGCACACTGCTGTACGATGCCCATCGTGGGTACGATTAGCTGGGTGTGTTTCGATTTTAGAAAACGCGACATCAAGCGAACAACGCCATATTTACGAAGTTCCTCCTTGACCTTCGGACTGCTGCCTAAAGAATCTAAAACCTTGGCACAACCTATGGCGACAGCCACGAGTTCTTTGCTGGCCTCGCTTAATTCATCGTATGACCAACGAAGAACTTCGTCTGGCACATCCATTACATCCAGCTGTCAAACAAAAAGAATCAATAGATTATCATCACATTTGCACAGCATCACAGCTGCTTACATTTGAGAGAGAAAAAAAGAAATTTAAATTCTCAATACTCACGGGTCATTTGTCATTTTTCTATGCATTTCTTTTTTTTTTTTTTTGAAATACTAAATAATAGCTCTACCCTTTTCTTTCCATTTTAATACACAACTTTACAAATATACAAATACGATACTTTCTAAAGATGTTTTGAAGTGTACGTAAAATATATTAATTTTTGTATAAGTACTTGTATAAAAGTGATGAAATTTAATTGATTTGGGACACGAGTAATTCATCATGTGAAATAAAGTAATATATAAAAACGATGATATCGGAATATTTGTTTGCATATATTGGAGATTCAATATTTTATATAAAGCAATTTTAAAATAATCTTGAAACAACTTATTTGTCTTATTTGAATACTGGTGATTGGATAACTTACGATGAGCGGTATTCCACCGCGAATTCTAATTTGTTTTCTGGCTTTCCTGATTCGAGCTATAATGGCCATAGTTTCGGCTGCCAAAATCTGCGAGGATTACAAATTAACATTATGTAACACGATGAAACGAAGTATGAAAAAAATTAATGAAAAATTAGATTCAAGATGTTTGGGATTTTAGCATTTTTAATTTGACGAACATTTTGTTGATTGGCAAATCAATCGGATTCTAAATTAAATACTCCATGTACGGCGAATAAAAACAACTAAGCCGATTAATTGAAGGAGCTATTTTGATAAAGATCAATGACCTGGATATCTCTGGCGGGATGCTTCAGCATTTGTATTAATGGCGTTGCAATGTCCAAGTCAATTAAATATCGCTTCATCTCCGTGGAAGTCGCAATTTGTAGTAATACCGACAACGAGCCATTCTGACACTTGATGTCATTCGTTTCGAGGAGATTCACTAAAACTTCGAGACCTCCCATTTCTTGGATAGCCTTCTGTATGATCTGCACTACCACAAATATATTTTGAACGACTAGATGACTCTTATTTTTACTTTAGATTCATTTTCACAACATTAATTTATATCGATCTTTTGTACATCGTATATTATACGTAACAACACATATCTGTTTTCAATTTCCATCATTTATCGATAAGCTTTTGCTCTGACAAGAAGCCCTGTCACTGTTTTGGACATGTTTCTCTACAGATTATATCTATAGAATTCATATCTTGAAAAATTAAGTAAGTTTTTTAAACATTGATTCCTTTTCCAGTGCAATACTTTTAATTTAATTTAATTATATTTATACATAGATATAGCTCAAGATTTGTATTGACTATTAATTTCATTTATCTTACGACTTTAAAAATCTTATCCGTTTGACTCTACTTTTTTCATCTTTAAACGAAGAAAGTTTCGACAACTATTCTATAAAGATTTAATTTAATAATTTATTTATTACAGTATATTGTCCAACTTTTATGTGATATGGTTAATTGATATGGTTTCGTTGATTAGTTTTCTATGTTCTTTCCTAAATGTTCTTTTCTAAATATTTAATTTTATTTCTATAATAATTTATTAATAATGTTTTAATCTTATCTCTCACAACTACTCTTATTATTGTAATGGCTGAGGATGACACTAAGTAAAGTCGAAACGTTCCATTTATTAATAATTGTAAAAAACTCTCATATCTTTTATGATATAGATTAATGTCTTAATAAATTTTATCATCTTTTTTTTAAGCTCGTGTTTGATCTATTTTCCTATTCACAAATATACTTATTACAAAATAATTGATTGTGTGGATGAGATATACAAGAGACAGAGAGATTATTTTTTAAATTAAAGAATTAAAAAAATTGATGTAAATGAGAGAATAATAATGAAGCAAAGAATAAATCTATTAGAATTATTGATTTTGTTAGATAACATTATAGATGATATTTTTTTCTTACAGCCTAATTTAATCTTATAATAAAAATATAATGGACCTTGTCGGTAAAATCATAATCCTTTAATAAACACAGGGACACCATGGTGGCAGTTTGATTGCCAGCCTTCATATACTTGACGAGTTTCTGGATATGCCAGAATTCAGAAGGCACTTCCGGGTGATCTTCCTGATATCTCGCCTTTTCCTCATCGTCGGACTCTGGCTCATCGTCTGAGCTCTCCTCCTCGGCTTTTTCACTGACAAGACGAATTCGAGGTCCATAGGGTTCACCAGTGAGCAAGGATATCTTCGGGGGTTCCGGTTCCACTGTTTCCGGCTCCACGATTTCCGGCTCTGGTCTACATAAATGGACCTAATATCGCTTAATCTTACATTTCTTATTTATTTTTGTGAAAAGATATTCCAAATCCGATTTCACTTAATCTTCAAAAAAAAAATATATTATATATATATATGTATAAAGTTCAAAATATAATGCAGCTTGTTTAAAAATTACTATAAATTTTATTTATAAATTATTACGTTGTATATAATTAATAACTGTAGAATATAAAATCAACAAAAACGTAACTAAATTTTTGGGATGATTCGTCCCCACGTGATTTCGTGTCCGTTTGCTTACTCAGTATGTTCCAACTCCTGCACAGCCGGTACAGCCTCTTTCGGCACGATCTCTTTCTTTTTCTTCGGAGGCATCTTTTGCAGCGAGCATTAAATTCACGGTAAATTCTTTTCAAGATCTTAGAATATCAGAAGAACAGGGTCTTTTTCTTACTCTGTTAACTGTGTTAAAAGACTTGTCTATCCTCATGCTATTACAGCGAACTATCGATCAAACAATCACTGCCAATTTCACTGTCTTATTATAAAAAATAACGAAATTTTAAATATATCGCAAAGAAAAAAACAGAAACGAAATGTCAATTAATTATTGCTTCTGTAAAATCTTGTTATTTAAAGTAAACGTCAGTTTCCATTTGGCGGATATTTACAAAATTTTCAGTTAAACATAGCTGTTTTCTATAGCTGAACTTACATATGGTGTAAGTTAAACTTTTGAAATTTAAAATGAAATAATTTTTTTGATATTTGACAAGAAAGAAAGTTCGTGTAATTTAATGCAATAATAAAAAACAAATCTTTATTTCCAAAAGGTCATCGTGAAAGATTGATAGTTAATGTCGTGAAAATGTCATGTGAATTATTGACAATATGCCGACAGGGATTTATAAAATAATAAATATTTTTTTCGCGGGGTTTTTTTGACAGAATCGACCACAAAGTTGTTCACTAGGAAGAAAAATTGTAGGGATGGATACGAGCGAAATCTTGTTGAACAAATTCGAGCTTGGTGAAAGCGACACGACGATCTTTGCGAAAATATGCATTGCCCGGAGGTGTTAAAGGAAAAAGATATAGAGAAGGATCGCCGTGACAACATGAACAAATGTTCGTCGTGCATATATATGCTTCTCCGTTTGCTTTTATTCTATTCTTGGTCTCGCTATGCGTCTGGCTCTGCATTTGCCGATGGGGATTCGGCTACAATCTGAAAGACCGAGAAGTAATTTATGCGCAAAGTATCCAAGAAACGCACCAAGTTAAGAGAAAATGACTTTATTTCGATATTATTAAAGCCAAAATGATGATTTTTGGTTTGACCGTTTATTAATGTTAAGAATTAAAATAAGAGTTATTTTGATTATGTATCGACTTTTGTATGTGTGTTCCTTGGATCACGACTTTCTGCCAAAGATCTTTCTTCTATTTACGTTTTTTTAATGATTTCTGTGAATTGCAATGCTCGTTGTCTTTACTTTCCAGATCGCCTATTGCCTGGTGGCCTATTTTATTATTATTTCATTCCTGAACGTCATCTTTCTAGGACATATACGACTATTTTACGATTATCCGCCGGAAATGGTCGGTAATTGAAGCCTTGACGGCTGCTAGATGGCGTTACCCATACAATTCTTGCTGGAAGAAGCTGCCAATTTCTGGAGTATAAGGTATTAATTTACGAGTGAAATAATGATTTCTCGCGGTATATTTCAGTGAGAAACGTTTAATTAACTTTCGTGGATGCGCAGAAAGTGTTTGTAGTTATTGGAATCAACGAAGATTGCACGGAGCTTGATTGATCGCTTGTAACCTAACCTAAAAACGGAACTACTACGGTAAATATTTGTCAATAATCTTAAGCTCATAGAACTAACGAGAGAAGTTTTAACGTTTTATCGAGCGTTTTATTAATTTTAAATACGTTTTTAGAGCATTTATTATGTACTCGCATTTATTATGTCTTACTATCTTCTCTACGAAGAGATCTGAACACAACGAATTCTCTAACTTTAATCTTTAAATGAACATCACCCCTTTAGGGTGATACAGTACTTGGTATTTAAAACCTTAGTCTAAAAGGGAAAATAAAAAGTGCCCAGATGCTCAGAAGTCTTAAAGTTTATTATTTTTACATTCCTTTGTCTCACAACGTAACAATGTAATAAATATAAATTTAATTATAATAATAGTAAAAAATTAACTATAAAATTAAAGACTTTCTGTTCTAAATATTTATCAACTTGCTTATCTTTAAGCATCTACCTAAAGAGGTTAAGTAAAATGTTTATGGAGAAAAAGTATGGTAACGTAATTGCTTTTTACATTATTTTCCAGATGGGTCTTCCACGGCACATTCAATTCATCAGCCGTACAATCTTTGTTCAGAACAATGACGTGGATAAGGCATGCCGCTTATTAAATCGCATACTGTCCAAAGAAGACATCTTTAGTCAGTACAGGCGCACGAGATATTATGAGAAACCAACTCAGGTCAGACGTAGGATCAACTATGAGAGGTGCAAGTCAATCTACAATGAGGATATGGACAGGAAGATCAAATTTCTTCTACGCAAGAACAGAATAGATCCTTTTCCAGGTGCATTGTAAGATTATATCTATTCCATATTAGATTATATCATTGCAATAAATCTGTCCATCAATTGATATGATTTATTAATGAATAAGTATTATCGAAAATATAGAAAATATTCTAAATAATACTGACTATTTCTTCTTCTAATTATTTTTACTTTATTCCTCGTATGTATGTGTGTGATACAAATTGATCATTCAGGATACTTTCGCAACTGAAGTTTACAGCTTTATTTATTTGTATTGAATGCCCTGATATATATTACTTCTATTACATTTCACACGGATGGATCCGAAAGTATTTTTGTATACAAATAAAAATTGATGAGTACATAGTAGAGATACAAAAATACAATCTGCAATCGGAGAAAATGGATCAATAAGAAATGCGCTTTAAACGTTAATGCATTTTGCTAAGAAGCAAAATGAAAAATCATCCTGGCGGACAGAAACGCGTTTTCTCGCTATCTCACGCCATAAGTAACTCCAGGAAGTCGGTTTGCGCGAGAAGCGCGCATTTCTCTCTCTCTCTCTCTCTCTCTCTCTCTCTCTCTCTCTCGTACATTCTTTTTTTTCCTTTTCCACCCCTCTTTCTGTAAGCGACTTCCATCATCTTTCTTTCGCGAGAGGCGAGAAAAGACAAAACGTCCGGTTGGTTGGTCGGCTTTCCTGGCAACGACTCCGCCAACTTGGCGAAAATTGAATAGATAGTGGCGCCCGGTCTATGCCAAGTTTTCCAGCGGGGTTTGTCGGACAGGAGGGTAATTCAACCCCTCCCGTGGAAAGAGCGAAAAAGGACGAAAGAGAAAGAGAGAGAAAAACAGAAAGAGAGCGGCGGTTGCTTCTGTATCCTTCACTTGGCGATAACGCGGATGGCAGTATTAGAGTAGGTAAACTATAAGTACTTTCGCTCCCATTCTCGAGTTAATTTTCAAAATCGTTCTCAAGGCGAGAAATGTTTGGCAAAATGTTCTACTGGAATATTAGTGTGAAACTGGAAAACAAGGTCTTTTATATTCGTTTATATTCAGTGTCACTGCATGCGCTGGCTCGCCTTCGGATGTATGAGGATTCAATTTTCAAATAATTCCCGTTAAATTGGCGCTGGTATTAAATCCCACGATTTTTTCCATTTCAATAATTATTGCTACAAATTTTATCTGAAATTCTTCGATTTTACTTTTCTTATTATTTTTCAAATTGTTAGAAAGCAAATATACAATAATTAACTATTCTATTTTCTTATTCTAAAAACAATAAAAATCTTATTTTAGATTGTACATTTGAGAACATAATCAATGAACTAGAAATAAATGCCTATTACGGTCGAAGCTGGATCTTTAATGCTTAAATAATCCAATGTAAATTATATATATATACAATTTATGTACTTGCATATATATGTTATATTTGCAGTCATTCGAACTGCGTGCCGAGTTGGTTTTCTGGACTTATAAACGCAATTAAACTACTAATAATGTCACAAATTAAAATAAATTGACAAGCGATTTCTAATAATTTGAGGCTTAATCAGGAAAGATGTTAATGTGTTGAAAAACTGTAAATCAATTTATTGTAAATGAATTTGTTATATTATTTTAAAAAAATTCTTTACACACTATTCTATTTAATTTTCAAGATTTGAAAAGTAATAAGGAACAAACTAAACCAAAGTCAATTTTGTCAGTTCAGTAATATACATACAATCTAAAAGTTCTTTAATTAGTAAGTCTGTGTTCATTTCATTTCAAATACGAGAGTATCACTTAAATGAAAGATTCACTTCAAAGGTTTAGAAAAAAATTACAGTCTGTAATCGTATAAGGATAGATGTCTCATAAAAGATGCAGATATTTCGCATAACGAATAAACTGTCCCGAAAGGGTTAAATGGGTTAAATGACGATAAATTCCACGAAGTCGTGCGTCGGAGGGAGAAGGGACCGGAGGGATGTAGAAAGCTTCTCAAAGTGCTCGTCAAGTCGTATAATCCGCGATTTATTTGACCCGAGCCGTCATAAATCCGGCCTCGGTGTGTTATTCCCGTAACTAGGAGTAGCAAACGGATCTCATTTCAGCCATCGGGACCACCCTGTCGCACTATCAAAGAGGGGAACGATCCTCGCGTCGTCTCGCTTGAGAAGGCGGTTTGGCTTAACTCCCGGGAATCTGGATCCGAAACTATCCGACGAACTACTCGCAAGACAGTTTGCCCAGAAACGGATTTCTGAGTCCCGGGGGATGCCACCCTGCCTGCGGCCCCCACCTTCGGGCCGTCGTTCTCCTTCCCCGACCGTTTCGATTTGAAACTCCGCGTATGCCTTCTCCACCGGCCGAATAACACGATGGCTCCATTATTGGAGCCGAGTGCTTTTGGGTATTATGTGATGGGATCGGATTTCAAGTCTGTCAAAATTATCAAAATGGAGAAAGAAATAAATGGAAAAAAAGATTCGTCTGCGGAAAGCGGAGAAATCGGAGGACTTTTTTTCCCCTCCGACGAAAGCTTAGACCCGATTGAACCGTCAGCGTTAAATATGAGATGATATCTTTGCGCGATTGTCACACATTAAATTTTTATTTATTAGACAAATCTATTTTAAGTAGGGATACATCGGATATTCGGAAAGTATCCGGTATCTGGTATTATCCGGCACTTTTTTACTATCCGACCATATAGTCGGATGTTAGTATCCGAGAATATATCCGGTTGAAATTTGATATCATTAAATTGTGGCTTTTTTTCGTATACAAATGTTCCAGCTAGAAACAAGTATATATATATATATATATTCATGATGCTATAATATCTTATACATTGTTGCAAAATTACAATCTTTTTCTCTATATGTAGAGACTTTTTTTTTAGAAGACACTTTCTCAGAATCCAGTCGGATATTCCAAAAATGTGGGATATCCAACTCGAAGAAATTGCCTTCTCGGACATCCGATCAGATATCCGGTATCCGATAATTTTATGATCCGGTATATCCCTCACTTTAAATCCGCTAAAATACATAATATTTCATTTGCCCGTAATTTTATATCTTTAATTTACTCTAAGTAAAATATATTTTAATTTTTAATAATAACTCCGTAATATCGCATTTAAAAGGTTCTCGATTGTTGTGCAAAAAAAAAACGAACTATAGATAGAAAAATATCAGGTATTATCACATCGATCCCTTATTTTCCATGTCGCTTTTACCGATATCTTTGTTGGATATCGGTAAAAGGGCAGAATCGAGAGAACTATAAAATTTTTATTTAAACATCGTTCCGACGTTTGCCTCGCTTATGAAAACATTTAGGGGCAAGGTAAAATTATGTCGGGTGTCTTTAGAGAGAGAGACTAGCGGATCGTTTTCCCGTAAAACAGACGTCTGAGCTTGCTACCTTTCCGAATGTTCGCCAAGTTTCAGCTGCATCGAAAATTTCGGATTTAAGAGTTCGTCTTGTCACTTTGTGGCCTCAACCATGCAAACTTTATTCACGACACCGATTTATCCTCTCACTTTATAGATCAGTTCAAAATACCTCTTGAATTTTATTTCCATCACCAAGAAAGAATGACAATATTTTTTTCTAGAATTTGCATGGTAATTCGTACAACTAATACTAGTAATACTAATAATAATAATACACTGTAAAAAATAAAACGTTAATTTTAACTTAAAGGCGTTTAGTGGATTTTCCGAGATATACAAAAATGTTAATTTTAACATTTTTACATGTCTCAGAAAATCCACTATACTTGTAAGTTAAAATTAACATTTTATTTTTTACAGTGGTAAAGTAGTAATAGTAGTAGATTTAATAATAATAATAGCTTCATTGAACGTACGAGAAACAGTAATATTATACTATGATGTGCAATATAACAGTGCTGTTGGTAAATTGCAAGAATTCGCACAAACTGTTACGGTTTACGGATGGTTCTTTGATTAAATAGTTTGGAACACCCACGGACACGTTTCACTTCTCAAACACGAGGCTTCAAAAGCGAAAAGCTACTGGTTCGCTTTTCGCTGATACGATGAAGTCCCGAGGAAATCGCTGGTTTTATCCATCAAAATCTCACCTCGCGGGATTAAGTGCCCTTCAGTAAGACAGGTACGCCTTCTTCGAGGTGCGCTTATCAAAGGAACTTTCGCGACGATATTTTTGTCTGTCTTCGTACCTCTGAGAAAAAGTTTGCCAGGTGGAATTAGCGGGAACTTTATAGCCCACGGTCGTAAAGCACCAACCGGCGCGCGGAGTTAAGCCGTGTACGCGCGTCCTGATCTTCTCTAGCCTTTTATTTTTTTCTCTCTTCTCTGCGCGCGATGTACTTTGGTTCTCTCTCTGATTTTCCACGTTCAATAGAACCTACTTAATTCAGCCGTCGTACGCCGTCGGAGAGACTGTTAAAAGCGAATTTGCTATATGACATAATATTGACTTAGCGTCCTGAGCAGCTTAAGATACCAAATTAATGAACAGTACCTCCGATGCAAATATGAAATCTAAAGTTTTGATTATTCTAACTCGTAACATATCGTATTCGTTTCAGATTTTCCTCTCTATTATTACGACTTTTCGGAAGGAAAAAAAAAGAAACGGAAACTTAATTTTGTCGAAGTAAACTCGAAAATAACTCGCAGTTATAAATCTGAAATACGAAAACAGTGACATTTATTTCTTCATTTCAAAGTTATCACCAAAAATAAACGCTTAATTCCTCGAAAATGTAAATTACACATCGTAATATTGTACAAATTTTAAACGCGGTTGACTGTCGTTCGATTTTCCATCAATCACATGACAGCGGTGATATAAACAAATCTTCAAATTAAACATGGGACTGACGCTGATCAAGTTCGCCTAAAATAACTGACTTTCCTGTCATACAATAAGGCGTGTATTCCCATCGCAGTTGCTAAATACGATCGTCTAATTCGGAAATTCGGTCACACAATAGAAGGATGATCGAAGTGTTACGAAATTAGTATGGAGATCAAGAGGCGAAATATCGCCAGATTGAATTTATCAATGGGTGCCATCGATTTTTTTCCCTGGATGTCAATATCTCTCTTGTAAGTCTTTCGAGGGAGAAAAGGACGTCGTTCGTTATAGAACGATTACTCG